GAAGAGACTTTTTTTTTTTTTTTTAACATTGAATGGATTTTTCACCTTTGTGGGAAATGAATTGATCATAAATGTGTGCGTTTATTCTGGACTGTTAATTCTCTTCCATTGGTCTATATATCTTCCCTTATACCAGAAGCACAGTGTTTGGATTATTGTAGCTTTATAGTACATTTTTTAATAGGGATGTATGAGTTGTCCTACTTTGTTCCTCTTTTTAAGTTTGCATTGGATTGATTCGTGTCTTCTTGTAATTCTATATGAATTTCAGGATTTGATTTTCCATTTCTCCAAAAATGGCTGTTAGAATTTTGATTGGTATTGCAATGAATCGATATATTGACTCCTTAACAATGTTAAATCTTCCAATCCATGAATACAGGATTTCTTCCCATTTATTTAAACAAACAAACAAAAAAAAACCATTTGCCTTTGAGTTGATTTTGACTCACGGAGACCCCATGTGTTTCTGAGTAGAACTGTACTCGATAGGGCTTTCAATAACTAGGACCTTTTAGAAGTAGATCTCCAGGGTTTTTTTCTGAGGCGACTTCAATTTATTAAGGTCTTTTTAATTTCTTTCGTTAATGTTTTATAGTTTTCCATATACAAGTGTTTCACCTTCCTGGTTAAATTTATTTCTAGGTGTTTTTTTTTTTTTTTCTTTTTCTTTAAGATACAATTGTAAACGGAAGGGGTTTCTTGATTTTCTTTTTAAGTTGTTCATTGCTGGTTTATAGAACTGCAGCTGATTTTTGTGTGCTGAACTGTTTCCTACAACTTTGCTGAATTCGTTTATCAGGTCTAGTACTTGTGGATTCTTTGGAATCTTACTATATATGGGATCATATCATCTATGAATAGTTTTGCTAGTGGAATACTGAATAGCAGTGGTATAAGTGAACTTACTGGTCTGTCCTGTTCTTAGGGGGAATGATTTCAGTCGTTCGCCATTGAGTATGGTGTTAGCGTATTGTGGAATTTACCTTCCGTATCTAGTTTGTTGAATGTTTTTTGTCGTGAAAGTGTCCTGGATTTTGTCAAAGGCCTTTTTTGTATTGACTGAGATAATAATGTGATTCTTTTACTCTGTTTCATTGATGTGGTGTATTACATTGTTTAATAAATCCCACTTCATCATGGTGTGGAATTCTTTTAATATGTGTCTTAGTTATCTAGTGCTGCTATAATAGAAATACCACAAGTGGATGGCTTTAGCAAACAGAAATTTATTCTCTGACAGTTTAGGAGGCTAGAAGTCCGAATTCAGGGTGCCAGCTCTAGGGGAAGGCTTTCTCTCTCTGTCAGCTTTGGGGGAAGGTCTTCAATCTTCCCCTGGGCCTAGAGCTTCTCAGAGCAGTCACACCGGGTCCAAAGGACACTCTCCCCTCTTGGTTCTTCATTCTTGGTGGTATGAGGTCCCTCTCCTCTCTGATGGGTTCTCTTTTTTATATCTTGAAAGAGATTGACTCAACATACAACCTAATCCTGTAAATTGAGTCCTGCCTCATAAACATAACTGCCTCTAATCCTGTCTCATTAACGTCATAGAGGTATGATTTACAACACATAGGAAAATCACATCAGATCCCAAAATGGACAACCAACCACACAATACTGGGAATCATGGCCTAGCCAAGTTGACACACATTTTTGGGGGATACAATTCAATCCATAACAATATGCTTTTGGACTCAGTTTACTGGTTATTTTGTTGAGGATTTTCATGTCTTGGTTCGTAAAGGATGTTGATCTGTAGTCTTCTTTTCTCGTGGCTTTTTTTTTCTGGCTTTGGTATCAGGGTATTACAGTGTTACAGAAAGAGTAAGTGTTCCCTCACAATCGTTGCTATGTTTGAGCCCATTGACTTGAACTTAAAACAACAACAATGAAAATGTGTTTCTACCACCTGCCTTCTCTGGCCTCCAGCTGCCACAATCTTCAGTTTTAGGCGGTCTTTGGTGGTGCAGTGGTTAAGAACTCAGGCTGCTAACTAAATAGTCCGCAGTTTGAATCCAGTAGCTGCTGTTTTGAAACCCTGTGGTGTAGTTCTATTCTGTCCTATAGGGTCGCTGTGAGTCGGAATTGACTCAAGAGGAATGGATTTGGTCTGGTTTTATAGTTTGGCTGAAAGCCCCCCATGGCGTCTAACTTTTATTCTATCAGTTTTAGGCCTCCTGAGCAGCATGGAACCAATCCAATCCCTGACCCCCTTGGAACCCACCCAGCTCCCAAACCCCCCTCTCTCAGGCTGGGTCATGGAGACTGGACGGCTGTCCCCCTCAGACTAGAGTTCTGCCTTGTCTGCCGTCCCCCTGCCAGACAAAGGTTCTCTCACCTCCACACTAAGCTACTGTCCTCAGACTAGGGCACGACATTAGAAGGCCTCCCCCAAGGGATGCTGGGCAGGCCTTGCAGAAGTTCCTCCACCTCGGCTCCAAGAGAGCAGTAGAAATTCATGAAGAGTTGGGATTCTTTGGTGCTGTTGAAGTCATCTTGTTTGCTCCAAGTTTGCAAACAACAGAAAGTCATTTCTTCTTTTTACAAACTGCCTAAGTTCCAGCAGGTGTCCCTTAAGGGCTTTGCCGTTTGATACCCCTGGGGACCATTTTTGTAAATACCATCGACACACTAGTCTTTTGTGCATGTCTTGGGTAGTGAGACGTGGCTTCATGGCTACTACCAGCTTTTTGTTGCTCTGGAATTTTCCTTAAGACAACCCTTTTCTGGAAGGAATTGAATATGAATCAAACTTCAGAGAAAGAGGGCTGGCCAGGGCGGGGCCTGGAAGTTGTGCTCCCTCTGCACCCTGCTGGCCTCAGAGCCCTGAGACTGAAGCCTGGCCTTGGGGCTGGGGGAGCAGTGAGCTTCACGAGGGGAGCACGTATGATGGTGATGCCGTGGGAAAAGGTCTAAAACAGCTTGTGTATTTCTCCAGTAGCCTGATCCTTGCGGATTAGTTTGCGATGGGCCCTCATCCTCCCCCTGTCCTGTCACGGCCACCTCAGGCCTCCCAGCTTATCCGCAGCTCTCTGCGGCTGGGAAGAGGGCAGCACCGAGGATCTCCAACCAGTCCTCCCTGCCTGATGACCCCCTCCTGCCCTCTAGCACAGCCTTTCCCCACCACACTCGTTTTGTCTGCCCCCTCTCTCCAGGCTCCTGGCAGGGCATGCTCCACCGTCCGCAATGTGGGTGTGAGAGCTGGGCACTGGTCTTCTCCCTTCCCCCAGGAGAGGGAGGCCACGACAGGGCCATCCTGGAGCCAGGTCAATCAGTCCCCCTCCCCAGCGTGTGCCATGTGTCACCTGTCAGCCTCTTTTCACAGACTTCCATCCCTGGCTCCGGCCAGAGTGGGGGAGCGGCTGATTTGGGTCCTCTTTCTTGGATCCTTCTCGGGCACCTCGCGGCCTCTGCCCTCACCTTGGCCTTTGGCATCCCCTCTCCACCTAGCCCCGGCCATCTCTGGGCTGCGGGGAGCAGCTCCCTGTCTTTCCAGGAAGGCTGAGATACTGGACACCCTCAGACCCATGAGCTGGGGAGGGCGGGAAGGAGATAGCCCTCAGGGCCTGTGTCACAGTTACAGGATGGCTCTGCCCTGGCCCAGGCCCCTCCAGAATTCTCGCTGTCTCCTGGAGTCTGGGTGTCCACCTCTGGACAAGTTCTGCTGGTCACCGGCACTCTACTTCAGAGGTGGCTGTGGGTGCAGGCGTGGGCTTTCGCCACCCTCCAGGCCTTTCTCTGCACACACTGGCCAGCGTGCTCTAGCCGCAGGGGTGCCGGGGGTTCTGGGGTGGCATCTACCTACATTGATAAGCCCGGCACGGACCGGAGGCTGGGAGAGGCTAGCGGGGCCCAGCTGGACCACCGAAGCCAGCCGAGGAGTCGGCGGGTGCAGACCGGGCTGGTAGGCAGGCTGGACAGGGCATCCGTGATGGAATGTTCCTTCCTTCAGTTACAGGCACTAGAACTGCGAGTTCTTGGATGTGGATACCACAGGGGTCTTGTGAAAATGCGGATTTTTATCTTAGGTGGGGCTTGAGATTCTCTCTATCTCACAAACTCCCCAGTTTATGCTGAAAATAACTGTTCTAGAAATAGGATGTGAATTAAAACTAGAGAATGCTGTTAGAGAAATTAATAAAAGGAAGGATAGTGCTTAAAGAGGAGTGACTGGTATACAGATGGGAGAGAGAGAGGGAACATTTACGCTGGGACCAAGAAATAAAAGAGGTGGAGCCAGTTGGGTGGGGTGGTGGGGAGGAAGGAAATGGGAGACTCCTCCTGAAAGCTTGATGATTTTCTGATTTACTGGTTGATCGATTATTATAAGACTGAAAGAGAAGGTGTGCAAGAATTCTCCCAGATTTCTGGAAAGACTGGTAGTGTCATGGCCAAAATAAAATAAAAAACTCAAGGGGAAGAAAGAAATGTCAGTTGTAAAATCAACAGGAAAAATACCGATCACACATTCCGATGCTGTAAATAAAGTGAAAGTTTGAAACAATACGCAGCAGAAGAGTTTCAGCTGCACGTAATTAAAAATCAGTGATACGGGATGAGCTCATTGATTTCAACTCGAGAAATATATTCTCCGTGAAAATTCACCCATGTTGATATCAAATAAAAGTGGGTGGGTTGTTCAACAAAGGGGAATCCCTAACCTCAAGGTGAACCCTTAGCCTAAGCCGTGAACCACGGACGCCCTGGAGGAAGCCAGGTTCATGTGTTCCAGCCTGGGCAGGCCTGGATGCCTGTCATGCTCTGGGATGAGGAATCCCCTCCCTCTGTGACCTTGTTGCCAGAGGAAGAGGCCTGTGGAGCTGCATGAGGAATGCAGGTGTGTGCTCTGGAGGCTGGAGCAGGATCTGCCTTAAGTGCATATGTCCTCAGAGTGGAGCATTGCCTTGAGCCTTTGAGGAGGGCCTGCCCAGGAAAAGAGCTGAAGGCCAAGAACCTGTCACACCTTCCTTACTCAACACTGTGTCCTCCTTCCATTTCAGGTCCCAGATGTGGCTCAGGGAGAGATAGTCCAGTCTAGGCAGCTGGGGACCAAGGACGACCATCTTGCACATCCATGCAATCACAAGTAAGGATTTCAACTGCTCTGACTGGTGTGTGGACCAAACATTATTTATCTGCCTCCAGACTGCCCGGTGGCTCTGCTTCCATTCCCGTCCCTCTTACTGAGTGACTTCTTGGGCTCAGAGAGGACATTCACTTAGCTTCCAGAAGCTGGAGCAAGGACATGGTGAGTACTATAGAGAACTGGGGTATTGTTACTCTAAGAGGTGTAGCTAGGTATGAATTGTTGGGGGACTGTGTGTTCTGGGCCCTGAGGTTCCTCAGTGAGGTAAAGAGGTGGCAGAGAAGGCCAAGGGACTGAGCCCTAAGGGCATCCTGAGGCCCTGCTCTTCTGTCAGTGGACCCTTCCTCTACATATATGTGGGCTTTCAAGCCTTGGATGACTGGGACCACCTTCCTTTTGTGACTCTCAGAGCTGTCACCATGGGGCATTACATCCCCACCCTGGGCCTTGATTTTCTGTGTTGAATGACAGAATGTCCTGAGCAGAGCATGAAGACAGAGCAGCTCTGGCTGGGGAGGCTGAGCCCCAGGTCCTCCAGAGCCATCCTGTCCCATCACTGCACACAGTGTTCTTGGCTTCCCCGAGGCTCTAGAGCCTGTTCTGTGCAGCTCTAACACCGCTGCTCCACCTCTAACATGGTATGATGGGATAGAAAATTGGGGAGTTAGTAGTGGAAGGCCTTGACTGTTAATGGGGTCCTGGTTGGGGCTTGGTTCTCTCATGAATTCACCAGTGAAATGAGGCAGGGGACAGTGAGTCCAGCTGGATCGTGTGTGAGGTCTCCACATCCATCCTTCTTGGAGGGATGCTTTTTCCTTGAGGTTTTCTGGTTCGTGGGAAACATGTTTCCCCAGCCTAAGTCTTTGTCCTCCCGCCCATCTCTGCTAGAGCTGGTATTCAAAAAACCCGTTGCCGTGGAGTCGATTCCGACACATAGCGACCCCATAGGACAGAGTAGAACTGCCCCATAGGATTTCCAAGAAGAGGCTGGTGGATTCGAACTACCTACCTTTTGGTTAGCAGCTGGGCTCTTAACCACTGTGCCACCAGGGCCCCAGAGCTGGTATGAAGTAATTTTCACCTGCTCTCCAAAGTCTTGAATGGGAATCTAAAATAAAAGTATTCTTTTATGCTAGACAAGCTCAACATATGAGCTGGTATATTTAACTTCTTGAGTTTACAGTTTCCGTTGGAAGAAATTACTAGATCGGTTTGTGTTTCTACTGAGAATCTTTCAGTGTAGTGGATATAAATTTCTCAAACACAGAGGAATGCCTACTTTAACTGATGTGAGAGTAAAAATTCAAAAGTAAAACGTTATTTCTCCTATTGTGTTACACAAAAGGTAGCTTGGAGTTTACACTGGCTTTTTAGTTAATAAATTTTCCTGGGGTTTTTCTAACAATGCATAGAGAGCTTTAATCTAAATTCTTATAAAACTCCCTAATACTGTATACGGTTGATCTTTCTTTGTTGTTTTGGCCATATCGCCGCGAACGGACACTTGGATTGCGTCCAGTATTTTGCTCTTACAAAGCTTGCTGTAGTGACTATAAATTGAAATTTCTAAGATCCAAGTATCAAAAGTTTAGACATATAAGCGCCCTGAACTAAGACAAGTTAAATCAAAATGAAGGGGTTTGCGTATCACTTCGTAAAATTGTTATATGAAAGTTACATTTCTTTCACGTTCTGAGCCATTGCTTTAAGCTTTTATTGTCAGTTGTCTCATAAACGAGTATATAAACTGTTTATGTGTAGTTTAAATAACAGGAATCTAAATCCCTGGTAATAAATAGATCTTGTCAGTTTTTATGGCCTCCCAATGTGTCCCACCTTGGTCTCATCTACTTCCTGCCTGGAGATTATTGCTGTCTGCATTGGAGAAGTTTATTATAATTATTTAGTTACTATTGCTGTTACTATAGCTTTGACAGCCAAGTCTTTTTTTTTTGAATAACATTGTTTTTTCAGTGAAGGTTGATACAGCAGTTTAGGTTCCCATTCAACAATTTCTACACAAGTTGTTCAGTGACATTCATTGCATTCTTCACAATTCATGAACATTCTCAATATTTCTGTTTGGTTGTTTCATTAATCTAGTTTCTGTGTCCCCCTTACATTCTCATCTTCGTTTTAAAGTAACTGTTGACCATTTGGTTTCACACAGATGATTTTTTAATGGAGCACAGTACTCAAAGGTGATATACTTTATTTTGTGAGTCAGTCTGTTTTTTAGGTAAAAGGTGACCTCAGGGGCTTGTTTCAGTTCAGGGTTTAAAGAGTATCTCAGGGCAACAGTCCTGGGGAGTCCTACCGTCTCAACTGGTCCAGTTAATCTGTTGTTTTTTTTTTTTTTTTTAGGAATTTGAGATTCTGTTCCACATTTTTCTCCCATTCTATCAGGGTGCATCTCCTTTGGCGCTGATCAGAATGGTGGGTAGTGGTAGCCAGGCACCATCTCATCTAGTTCTTCTGGTATCGTGGTGTATGAGGCCGTGGTTCACGTCGACTGTTAGTTCTGAGTCTTTGGTTTCCTTCTTTCTCTTTTGCTCCAGACGAATAGAGACCAACAGCTGTATCTTAGATGGCCACTCACAAGCTTTTAAGACCCCAGACACTACTCACGAAACTAGGATGTAGAACATAAACTTTATGAACTGTGTTATGCCGGTTGACTGAGATTTCCCACAAGACTATGGTCCTTAATCTTTCAAACCCAGGAAACCAATCCCATGGTGTGTTTGGTTACATCTAAAAAGTATCCATATGTCTTAGCTGTCTAGTGCTGCTATAATAGAAATACCACAAGTGGTTGGCTTTAACAAAGAGAAATTTATTCTCTCACATTCTAGTAGGCTAGAAGTTCAAATTCATGGCATCAGCTCCAGGGGAAGGCTTTTTTTCTCTGTAGGCTCTGGAGGAAGGTCCTTGTCAACAATCTTCCCCTGGTCTAGGAGCTTCTCCGCGCAGGAACCCCAGGTCCAAAGAACACGCTCTGCTCTCGGCGCTGCTTTCTTGGTAATATGAGGTCCCCATGTCTCTCTGCTCGCTTCTCTCTTTTATATCCCGAAAAAGATTGACTTAAGATGCAACCTAATTTTGTAGATTGAGTCCTGCCTCATTAACATAACTGCGCTAATCCCACCTCATTAACATCATAGAGGTAGGATTTACAGCACATGGGAAAATCACATCAGGTGACAAAATGGTGGACAGTCACACAATACTGGAAATCATGGCCTAGTCAATTTGACACACATTTTTGGGGACACAATTGAATCCATAACACTGTAAATGTGACACCCAAGTTTTGATCCATAATCTCTGTGTTGTTTAATTTTGCCTCTTTTGAGCTTTCTATAAATTTAATTATAACTGTGTCTGGGTTCTTCTGTGACTTGTTTTCCTCAGAATGCTTTTGAGTTTCATACACGTTAATGTCTGTAACTCTGGTCTACCCATGTTGGTATATATGCATGCTCTCATTGTATGAATGGGCCGGAATTTCCCTACCCATTGTAGAGTTTACAGGATTTGGGTGATTCATGTATAACTTTTGCTCTTGTAAATATTACTGCTGTTACTCTCTACATTCACTTTCCAAAGTCCAAGAGCTCTTGCACAGTCACTGTCTAGTGAGGGGGAAATTGCCAAGTTGTACACCATAGCCAAGTTCAAATTTACTAAAAGAGCTGAAGCATTTTACAAACTTTCCCTCCCACAAACTATGCATATAGATTTTATTTGTTCCATCTGCTTATCTAATGAAGTAATTTTTGCTCTTCTAATCAGTGTATGAAACAATTCTTACTTTGATTTTATTGTTCCAGTCCCTTACACCTCTCCAGTGCTGAAAAGGCTGCGCGTATTTCCCACTGTTAATTTATATCTTCGTGACTTTTTAGGGCTTCTTTATAAACTTTGGAAAAGGTTCCCCTAGTATATAACTTATCTTTTCACTCATTTTCCCTGCTCTTTGATGAATTGTGAATTTTAATATAGTTGAATTTGTCAGTCTTTTCCCTTATGTCTTAATCTTCTTATTTAAGAGTCCTGTCTCCGTTCTGATGTCGTAAGATCATTTGCTTATAACTTCTAAAAGTATTAAAATTTTACACTCTCATAATTAAAGGTGTTCTACCTGGAATTGATTTTTGCATATGGAGTACATAGGAATGTTGTTGTTGTTAGGTGCTGTCAAGTCGGTTCTGACTCATAGTGACCCTATGCACTACAGAATGAAACACTGCCCAGTCCTGCGCCATGCCCACAATCGTTGTTATGCTTGAGCCCATTGTTGCAGCCACTGTGTCAACCCATCTCGTTGAGGGTCTTCCTGTTTTTTGCTGACCCTGTTCTTTATCAAGCATGATGTCCTCCAGGGACTGATCCCTGACAACTTGTACAAAGTATGTGAAATGTAGTCGCTCTATCCTTGCTTCTAAGGAGTATTCTGGCTGCACTATGAATAGACTATTCTAATTAGATAATTATTTGATAAAAAACAAACCTTTTGCCTTCTACTGATTCCGACTTATGGTGACCCCATGTGTTTCAGAGTAGAACTGCACTCCATAGGATTTTCAGTGTCTGATTTTTCAGAAGAAGATCGCCAGACCCTTCTTCTATGGCAGCTGTACCTTGCCTTCAGCCTCCAACTTTTTGCTTAGTAGCTGAGCACTTAATCGTTTATGTAACTGAGGGACTCCAGTTAGTTGAGTCTCCCCCACATGTTGAAGTGTGAGTGCTTTCTGTCACTGCCTTGCAGTGCTGCTGAGCCATGAGTCAACCTTCCGCAGAGACCGAGGGACTTTCTCATTTTTTTCTGTTGGTCTGTTATGTATGCCTATAATGATACTGTTCTATTATAGCCCCATTTATAAAATAAGTATGTATGAATACGATTTTATATATGATATGTGTGGACAGCCCCAGGCCTCATTCTTTAGAATACCTGGGCTACTTGTGGACATTTGCAATTACATACACAGTTTTGA